CTAGTTTTAGCACAAACTTGCAATAGGATGGAAATTAAGGATGGTAATGTCACCCAACCATTGTGGACTCGAAATCATCCAACTTGTTTGGATTTAGTTTTTATTCAATTTTATGGAAATCAAATTGAGTAAGATGAAAATCTAATCTAAAGTCACTTAAATCGAGTGCGGGGGACGGATGGAGAGTCCACGCGATCAACACCCGACTCGATAATTTTAATATTATTTTTTATTAAAATGTATAGTTATCGTAAATCCTACAAAAATAAACTCAAATAACCGACATTTACTTTTTAACTAGGTTTTACTTTATAAATAATTAAAAAAAAATCTTTAATATATATAATTATTAACATAATGTTATACAACAAATTCTATGTATCAATATAAGCTTCTAACTTTATTTTGTAATTAAAGTTAGTTTATAATTACAAATACATGATAACAATGATAATTAATTATTATCAATCAAGAACATATTAAATTAGTATGTAGTCTCTTGTTATTCTATATAATACCTCTCTATCAAATACTACGGATATAAGTTAGATAGTTGATGTATTTTTTTAAATATATGATCCAAGTCAGTTTAAAAAAAAAAATAACAAACACGTAATTCAACAACATATCCATGATTTCTAAACATAAAAGAGATCTTGAATGATTTATACCAACAAAATACTGATTAATACATACTAATAGTGATGTTTAATAATATAATTTTATATTTTTAAATCATATTTAGTGTTAAATTTTTAAATGTGAATTAGAAAAATAAAATTATTGGCTATGTGAGATTCTTTTCACTAATTTATCAGGCTGTGTTTTGTGATGTCGTTAAAAAAAGAAAAGATAAATTTTAAAAAATTGATTTTATACGATTTTTTTTTTTTAAAAAAAGTCGGGTTGGGCACAAATCAAGTGAAAGTAGTAGACCCGACCTCACCTATTGTCATCCCTAATAAGACTTCGATCTGGGTTGTATTGCCGACAGTCAAAAACAGTGTGAATTTTTCTTAATGGGCCTTGGCTCTGGACCCCATTTAATAGGTTGAATAATTTTGAATCGGCAAATTGCATGGTCTAGTCTCATACGTAGGCGGCCGAAATTGTTCAAATCTCAAAAAATCTTTCTCAGTGGTAGCAATCCATGGCAAACCATTGAAGGGTTGGATATTTTGTTGCAGATCCTGAAGAACACAACAGCAAGCAGGAGAGGATGATTGACAAAGCTTGCTTATGAGGGAAAGTAACATAACACATTACTATTTATGAAAAATATTTTCAAAGAATATTTCAAATAAACATAATAATGGAAGTAGTATGATTTTAGGACATTGAAAACGCTCGATCCTGAATTATGTCATTCCATGACAATGTGGTCCATTTATCTTCTTTTTTCCTTGGTTTTTGTGCTGGGCTCCATGCCAATTTTATTGCCATTATTTTTCAAATCTACCATGGCATTGAGAAATTTTATAATACATTAAAAATAACTAATGACATATATAGTAGTTACTCCATAAACTCACTTTGAGAAAAGAGATAGATATATATAAAAAAAAGAGAGAAATAAGAGAAAAAAATAAAACAATTTGAGGAAAGTGAAAATCTTCTTATCACTTTTGGTGAGTATATATGTGATTTCTCTCTCTCTCTCTCTCTTTTTTTCTATCTCTCTCTTTAAAGTAAACTTATGGAGTAACTACTCTACATGTCACTACTTACTCTCGATGTATTACAAAATTTCTCTCATACCATGTGCGCAATGTGATGCGATATAAGGATAACAATAGATGGATATCCAATCTATTAGTTCAATTTTGTTACTCTATTCATTACTCATTAAGAAATCACCATATAAATTTTTATCCAGTCCATACACGATTCATATTAATTTATCCATCAATTTAATACCCATTTAATATTGATTAAAAATAATTTATAAAAATATTCATTTTAGTCCTTATAATTTAAAAAAAAAGTTTTTTGTCTATAAAATTTATTTATTTTTGCATTTTGGTCATTTATTTATAAGTTTTTGTGGTTTTTAAAGTTTTTGAAATAAATATTCTGGTCATTAATTTTTAAATTTCATGAAATTAGATTCTTATATGTTAATAAAAAAATTAAAATAAATTAGTGAATATTAATAAGATAAAAAATGAGTACTCATGTCCTAAAACTATATTAATGGGTGAGTAGTTTTTTTATTCTTATTAATTTCAATATCAATTGAATAATTTTAATGAGTATTTATTGAATCGAATAATTTAGATACTCATTTTATAAATAATCCATTGCCCTATGATAGACGGTATTGAAGATTTTAGAATATCAAATACATATGGTTGTTATAACGGTGGTTAAGCATTATTAATTTTGTATTTTGCAAAGTGGTTGAGATGGCTATTTAATTAGTTATGCACGAAACGAAAGGAGCAATTATTAACTTGTTATCTCAAGATTAATGATTGGTGCTAATGATGCCTTGAATTTCTCCTTCTTCAGGCACTTACAACAAAAATATTCTATTCTAAGTACTAATTAATCCACCATAAAGCAGAAACTGTAATTTCGAAAATAGTGAAAAATGACTTAAAAGCGAGAGGGTGGATTGAATTTGAGATCTTTGAATTGCAAAATTATTGAAGTGAAAGATGCGAAGGAGGAGAAATTTTGATATCTTTCTAAGCTAAAAAAGAAAAACCAAATAATGAAACTAGACTGATTTAAGAGTAAATTATAATTTAGTCCATTTAGTTTCAAGAAATAAATTAATTATTTTTTCTCATTTTAAAAATTATTATTTAATCTTTAATATTAATTTAATATTATTTTTATTTTATAAAATTTCTTATTTTCTTATGAATCTTTTTATATTTTTTTATATTTTTTTTATTTCTTAAAATAAAAAATCAAAATAAATTAAAACAAAAAACAAAACCAACTAAATTACAAATAGATTTCAAAGTTTAGTTTTTTTTTAAAAAAAAAACTAATTAATTTATTTTTCAAAATAAGAGGGACTAATTTATAATTTAATCACTGATTTAGATAATAAAATCAATTTGGTAGTAACAACACGATTTAGCATCAAACAGGACTCGTAAAAAATAGGAGAAATCGAGGGGGAAAAGTTCATGCTGCATAGCATAAGATCAATTTGGATGTCTCAACATAATCAGGTCAGAAATGTTATGTGCCCAGAGAGGAAAGAAGGGAGAGATGTCAATTCAAGAAAAAAAAAAAAAAAATATATATATATATATATATATATATTAGAAAATTTTAGCATGCACAAATCGAGTCCACCGACAGCCACGAGAGTGGAAAACCGAAGCTACCGACAATAACCGGTAAATCTTAAGGCACAGCCTGTTAACAGCAAAGAAAGGATCAACCATTGTCCCTTTCTTGACAATTCTTGACAAACAATGTTCCAACGGACAGAGACTGATACGTGTCGGCAGATGATTGGTTTGATTATTGGAAGTCATAATAGAGCGAATACTTTTGCAAGGAGCTCCAATCAATTACCACACGCCATCGACCGCGTGGAGACCAGTACCTCAGATTGGTTAAATTAGGAAAGGGACGTTCTAGCTGTTTATAACGTGGCTCTAGCTGCGTGTACTTCGGCTCCAGCTTAAGCTTCTCGGCTTTTTAATCCGCAGCCTAACTTCTCCATTTATGGGAAACGGTAGGTCAGTGGGATGAAGGATAAAAGAGGCAGTAAATAAATTAGGACTTGAATTTCCTTTTTTTATTGCTTTAATGGAAAACCAATCCTCTGCCAAATCTGTGAAAAAAAGTTATGGAGTAGTTAAATCCACCTGATAGTAATGGTGTTTTTTTTAAAAAAATCAAATTAACTTGTGATTGAGTTAAACTGTGCAAAAATGAAAAAAAAATCATTTTGTTTAGAAGTAAGAAATGTGACAATTTTTTGTATTTGTAAAACAAAATATTGGGTTACTATATATGAGTGGATTACCAATCAATAATAATAAAAATATATATTATTTTGAAACTCTTTTAATTGTAAATAAGTTTTAAAGCGAGAAATCAATAAGGTAGTAAATTGTAAAATAAAATTTAATTAGTAAAATATTATGCTTATAGATTTTTTGATATAAAGCGAAGTTTTGATATTGGACTATAAATGATTAAAATAACAAAGCAAAAATAAAAACAAATGCTGAACTATATTTAGATCATACATCATGATTAGTTTATAATATTGTTGAGTTGAATTTCAACTGAAAAACTATAAAGCTGTGTAAATTTTGCTAATGAGATTTAAAGCACTTTCAAAATTCTTTGCATTCATATATTGAAAATAATTTCGGATAAATTGAAAACACTTTTAAAATTCTTTGCATGCGTACATTGAAAAGTTTTACTTTTTAATAGTTTTATTTTTAACATGTTGACTCGAGTTAAAGAGATTTTAGTCGTTTAAACAAATGATTTTGAATTTAAATATTTATATATATATATTTTAAATAACTGTATTTGTATTGTGTGTTCAATAAAATAATAATGGATTAGTCTAAGGTTTTTAAATTTGGGATATCTTGAGATTGAAACTCTCGAAGAATTAGATAAAGGCAAGCCGAGGTGTAGCGGACAGCAAGCCAAGCGGGGTCGTTAGATTTGAATCAAACCAGTTGATCCGGTAAAATTAAAAAAAAATATTTTATTACATAAAGAAAACAAAACAAAGACAAAAATTTTTTTGAAAAAAAAAACATAAAAAAGAAGATAATAAAAAGACAGAAGCACCTTATAACACTAGACAGACAGACTGCCAGCTAATAAGCTTACAAGCAGAGAAAGAAGAAAAGGCACAGAGATGGCGTATTGAGTGGGCGAAGAGCTCCACAATAATCATTACCTTTCTCTTCATTTCTTTTTACTCATAGATCTTTCTCTCTTTTCTCTCTATGTTTCTTTGAAGAAAAGAGGGTGTGAATTGATTTTGAGAGGAAGAAAAGATGGAAGCAAATGCGGGTATGGTTGCTGGGTCTTACAGGAGGAATGAATTGGTTCGGATTCGACATGATTCTGATAGTGGGGTTTGTCTTCTTTAATCTTAAACTTCACGCTTGATCATTTTCTGGCTTTGATTTCATTTGGTTGCATTTCTGTGTGTTAGTGTGGATCTGAGTGTTGAAAATTCTGTGAGAGTGAATGTTTTATGGTGGGGTTTTGTTAATTTTTATAATTCAGCTTTGTTTTGTTACGTTGACTGATAGTGACTAGATCTGGTTGTCAGTCTTGTAATTATGAGTACTCAGTTTGATCTTGATATTGTAGCTTGATTTCTTTAAGGGGATTTCGCCCTCTTTGTTATTCTTATTATTACAGTGTCGTTGAGCCAAGATCATAGTACTTTACATCAGTGGCATTTTCAGCTTGTTTTTTAGCCAGTCTTGAATAAGATCTACACCAATAAATCAAAGAAAGCTGTGTTTTGGAAATTTTTTTAATTTATTTTGAGCTGGATTCCTTGTTAAACTGACAATTCCGATCACATGGTTTCAGATAATTTTTTTAAAATTTATTTTCTTGATTTCATCTTATTTAAGATGTTAAATCACTGTGAATTGATCTCACTTCCTTTTCCTTTGTGGAATGTCTTGCTCATAATGTGCCTTAATGTGGACTTGATTGTTTCTTTTAATGTGCCAGTAAATTTCCAACATTGCAGGCTGTTAGGTATCTGAATTTGGGAAATCTTTGATTGAGTACAATTGTATAATGTGATGGTTATTTTGTTATAGTGGGATGTGAAACAATGTATTTACTTTCTGTATTCTAATCACTGTGTTCTTTTGTGGAATAATGCAGCCCAAACCCCTCAAAAATTTGAATGGGCAAACATGCCAGATTTGTGGGGATAATGTTGGAGTTACAGAGAATGGTGACATCTTTGTTGCTTGCAATGAGTGTGCTTTCCCAGTTTGCCGTCCTTGTTATGAGTACGAGCGAAAAGATGGGACTCAGTCTTGCCCCCAGTGCAAGACTAGGTATCGAAGGCACAAAGGTTAGTTTGTTTATTCATTCTTCTTTTGGGTTCTATTCTGTAATGTAGTGATGATCAATAGATGGAGTTTTACTGATATTTTAGGTAGTCCTCGAGTCGATGGAGATGAGGATGAAGATGATGTTGATGATCTGGAGAACGAGTTCAATTATGGCCAAGGCATTGGCAAGGCAAGGCGTCAGTGGCAGGGTGAAGATATAGAACTTTCTTCATCCTCCAGACATGAATCTCAACCAATTCCCCTTCTCATGAATGGGCAGCCGGTATGCAGATTAACCATTTTATGGTTCCTTTATATGCACATGTTGGGCACTGCAAAATAGATAGAATAACACTGTATGCTTCTAGTGACACACTTTAGTTTGTACGTCCTTGTAAAATTTCTAACCTTTGTCGGATTAAGGCGTCTTAGGCATTGATGCATTGTGGTCCAAGACCACAAACACAGTTTTGTTGTGGTCCACGAGCATTGTATTTTGCAAGCTCCTAGTTTCTTGTAGGTTGGGTTTTCTTACTTAGAAATATAATTTAAATGGAATTTCTACTGATTCAATAAGTCCCTCTCTCTCTGAAAAAGATAATTTATGGGGCATGTTTCCTGTTTAAAAGCTAGCCAGCTGCTGATATTTAAAAATTGTTTTTTCCTTGGTGCATTAGCAAGTGAAAATTTTGATTGTCAGGTGTTCTGGTTTTGCAATATCCTGCTTACATGGGTGTTATTTTCAGGTTTCTGGTGAAATTCCCTGTGTTACACCTGACAATCAATCTGTACGAACTACATCCGGTCCTTTGGGCCCTGCTGAAAGGAATGTTCACTCATCTCCTTATATTGATCCAAGACAGCCAGGTAGTCAAGCAAACTGAATTTGAGTATTTGAAATCCACTCTATTGTTTGTATGGCTTTGAGGCAATCATGTTATTTTTTGTAACAGTTCCTGTTAGAATTGTGGATCCGTCAAAGGACTTGAATTCTTATGGCCTTGGTAATGTTGACTGGAAGGAGAGGGTTGAAGGTTGGAAGCTCAAACAGGACAAAAATATGATGCAGATGACCAACAGATACTCTGAAGGAAAGGGGGACATGGAAGGCACTGGTTCGAATGGAGATGAACTTCAAATGTGAGTTTCGTTCTTAAATGATTAGCTTGCATCATTCTATCTTCCAGAAGCATATTACGTGCAATTGCCTCATATTGAAGTATGGATTAGCTTTCAGATTCTATGAAAAGGATGAGCTTATCTTCTTATATGCACTCAATTAACCATTTTGTATCTGTATTTCTCTTCTTGTGTCACAGGGCTGATGATGCTCGACAACCTTTGAGTCGTGTGGTGCCCATTGCTTCATCTTACCTGACTCCTTATCGTGTTGTGATCATTCTGCGGCTTATTATTTTGGGATTCTTCATGCAATATCGTGTAACTCACCCAGTGAAAGATGCATATGGGTTGTGGTTGACATCTGTTATCTGTGAGATCTGGTTTGCCTTGTCCTGGCTTCTGGATCAATTTCCAAAATGGATGCCTATCAATCGTGAGACTTACCTTGACAGGCTATCATTGAGGTAAGTTAAACGCATTTTATTGGTAAATGGATTTTGGTTGGAGTAATTGGTTTTTATTGCTTGGCTAACAGCATTGTATATCTTGCAGATATGACCGTGATGGAGAACCATCACAGTTAGCTCCAATTGATGTCTTTGTTAGTACAGTGGATCCCATGAAAGAGCCTCCTCTTGTAACAGCAAACACTGTGTTGTCCATACTTTCTGTTGATTACCCTGTCGACAAAGTATCATGCTATGTTTCAGATGATGGTTCTGCAATGTTGACATTTGAAGCCCTTTCTGAAACTGCGGAGTTTGCAAGAAAGTGGGTGCCTTTCTGCAAGAAGCACAATATTGAGCCTAGGGCCCCTGAGTTTTATTTTGCCCAAAAGATTGATTATCTGAAAGACAAGATACAGCCTTCTTTTGTGAAAGAGCGCCGAGCAATGAAGGTGAGTCATGAAGAACAGTGTGCCTTTTGCTCAAAGTTTTGTCTGTACTTCGCATGGATTAAGTTCTAGGTTTTTTTTTTTTTTTTCGTTTTTTTATTTTGTGTGACATTATACATGAGATTGAGTATAATATGTGTCACAGAGAGAATATGAAGAATTCAAGGTGCGGATCAATGCTCTTGTTGCGAAAGCACAGAAGATGCCAGAAGAAGGTTGGACAATGCAGGATGGAACTCCATGGCCTGGAAACAATCCCAGGGATCACCCAGGAATGATCCAGGTATTACCATCCTTCTTATATGTATCCATAGTCATGCTTACTTTTGTTTGTCTTTTTCCTACAATTTACCCTTTCCTCCGTATGGTGAAGAGCAGGTGTTTTTGGGTCATAGTGGGGGGGTCGATACCGATGGAAATGAACTACCTCGTCTTGTATATGTTTCTCGTGAAAAGAGACCTGGATTCCAGCATCACAAGAAAGCCGGAGCCATGAATGCACTGGTTTGTCATCTTAACCTCTCGTATGATTTCACCGTTTTTTTCCAATTTCTCAAATACATTGTCATTAATCACAGGCCATGGTACCATATGGGTGCTGATTTTTTGTGCATATCAGAAAACAGCTGTTTATTTATCCTCTCTTTCCTCTCTTTTTTTCTCCTTAAATAAACGGAAGTTTGCACTTATATGTTCTGTTGTTTGGTTCAAGATGATTGATTTCCAGGACTTAGAGGCCTGAACCACAAACTTTTTTGCTAAACATCAAAATATCTTCTAACTTGGTCTTTTTGTCATGTAGATTCGAGTTTCAGCTGTACTGACCAATGGTGCCTATCTTCTGAACGTTGATTGTGATCACTACTTCAATAACAGCAAAGCTCTTAAAGAAGCCATGTGTTTCATGATGGACCCTGCCTATGGAAGGAAGACATGCTACGTACAGTTCCCACAACGTTTTGATGGCATTGACTTGCATGATCGATATGCCAATCGCAATATCGTTTTCTTCGATGTAAGTCTTAGTCGATCCATCATCAATCTACAAAGTATTCCTTTCTGTGCAATGTTGTAATGGATGGTTCATGTTGTGTCATTGTATGTTGCAGATCAACATGAAGGGTCAGGATGGCGTCCAGGGGCCTGTGTATGTCGGAACTGGTTGTTGTTTCAATCGGCAAGCTCTATATGGTTATGATCCAGTTTTGACCGAGGAAGATTTGGAACCAAACATTATTGTCAAGAGTTGCTGCGGCTCACGAAAGAAGGGAAAGGGTGGTAATAAGAAGTATATTGACAAGAAGAGGGCAATGAAAAGAACTGAATCCACTGTCCCCATTTTCAACATGGAAGACATTGAGGAGGGTGTTGAAGGTTGGTTTCTGCAAGAAATTATTTTTTCTCACCTGTCCTTTTCAATTAATGTCTTGTACTAGCACTGCATCTCAGTAATTTGGTTTATGATGGAGCATGATCGGTGCTTATTATAGCATGGTCACTAGCGTTTTGATTACCTTTAAATTTGTTATGCATATGAATTATTTACAAAGTATCATAAGCTTCATTTTACAATGCTAACATTATTTTTATATTTCATGTCATGTGGTAATTATAAATTACAGAACACTCAGTTTGAGATTTATCACGATTTTGATTAAACTTGATGGTGGAATCTGCAAATGATTACAGAAAAGCTTACATAGCACATTATTTTAACTGCATTCCTTCTCTTCTGCAGGATATGATGACGAGAGGTCACTTCTTATGTCGCAGAAGAGTTTGGAAAAGCGCTTTGGTCAGTCACCGGTTTTTATTGCAGCTACCTTCCAGGAACAGGGAGGCATTCCACCGACAACCAATCCTGCAACTCTTTTGAAAGAAGCTATACATGTTATTAGCTGTGGATATGAAGACAAGACTGAATGGGGCAAAGAGGTCAGTCTAGCTTTGTCCTTTGTAGTAATTCTTTAATACTATCTTGTTTTGTTTATACAGTTAGTTAAAAAAATTTGTCTGCTGCCAGATTGGATGGATCTATGGTTCTGTTACTGAAGATATTTTGACTGGGTTCAAGATGCATGCTCGTGGTTGGATATCAATCTATTGCGTGCCTACACGCCCAGCATTTAAGGGATCAGCTCCTATCAATCTTTCTGATCGTTTGAACCAGGTTCTTCGATGGGCCTTGGGATCTATTGAGATTTTGCTGAGCAGGCATTGCCCCATATGGTATGGATACAGTGGAAGACTAAAGATCTTGGAGAGGCTAGCATACATTAATACCATTGTGTACCCACTAACTTCTCTTCCACTGCTTGCTTACTGTGTACTTCCTGCCATTTGCCTTGTCACTGGAAAATTTATTATTCCTGAGGTAAGTGACATTTTCATTTTGTATGATTCAGATCTTAATTAACAAACCAATGATTTTGCTACAATTTCTTTTCAGATAAGTAACTATGCTGGCATGTGGTTCATTCTCCTTTTCGTCTCCATTTTTGCTACTGGAATACTTGAGCTTAGATGGAGTGGAGTTGGTATTGATGACTGGTGGAGAAATGAACAATTCTGGGTCATTGGTGGTACATCAGCTCATCTCTTTGCTGTCTTCCAAGGGCTTTTGAAAGTGCTTGCAGGCATTGATACCAACTTCACTGTCACTTCAAAAGCATCTGATGAAGATGGGGATTTTGCGGAGCTTTATGTGTTCAAATGGACATCACTTCTCATCCCTCCAACCACAGTTATTTTCCTAAACATAATGGGTATTGTAGCTGGTGTGTCCTATGCCATAAACAGTGGGTACCAGTCTTGGGGTCCACTCTTTGGCAAGCTGTTCTTTGCTCTATGGGTCATTGCCCATTTGTATCCTTTCCTCAAGGGTTTGCTGGGTCGGCAAAATCGTACACCAACAATTGTCATCGTCTGGTCTATTCTCCTTGCTTCGATTTTCTCCTTGCTATGGGTGCGCATCGACCCCTTCACCTCAGACGCCACAAAAGCCGCCGCAAACGGTCAATGTGGCATAAATTGCTAGATTGTGTTGGTGTCATTTTGTCATGGCAAATGCCATCTCTCCTCAGAGCCGCCTACCCTCTGTATATAACAAGAAATCAAGGTACTGGACTATATATCATTTAATTTATGTAGAAGGGGTTAACCTGAAAAAAGATGTACTTCTGGGAGGCACTGTGAAGGACAGGGAAACATGTACCATCTTTGTTGTCATCACCACCACATGGTGTTTCTATCCATCCCTACATGAGCAGGTGTTGCTGGACTTCTTGAGCTTGTTCGTGCCATTGTTGTGCAGTTTGGTGATGTTTTTTTTCTTGGTACAAGTTTATAGAAATATCCGTCATTGTCTAGAAGAGCTTGCCTAAAGAATTCTTTCGTAAGTGTAAGCCTGGTTATCATGGAATTTTAATTTTTCACAGATCTTTCTGATTGGAAATTGGCTCTTGATTTTCTTGTTGTCTCTGCGACGTAAGTTCCAGATTGCACTTCATTTTCATAGCTATGTTTGTCATATCGCCTACCTCTAAATAATTGATGATGCTCCCATTTATATATATATATATATATATAACAGAACTTTCTTTCCCTTTTCTTTTGACAAACCTCTTTAGATGTACAGTAAGTCAGTAATTAACAAGGCAGCTTCGATCATATTGGTGTTTAAAATAATCTCATCACACAGCTGAATAGTATGTTAATTAAACCATTAAATTTAAATAAAATAAATAAAAAGCTATATTTGTAAATTTAATGGTTTAACCTTGGTCGACATGTACCGATGCTGGCATTATAATAATCTTACTAGTTGGTAGTTGGTTGTGCGCTATAACGCGGATCTGATATAATAGATGAAATTATTTGAAAAAAAAATCATTATGGTTTGGCCATGTTATAAATCTATTAAAATATATTGAAATCAAAAGCAAAAAAAATATTCACCTAACTTTACATTTTTTAATCATAATTTTATATTGAATTAATTATTTCTTATGTTTTTTAAAAGATTTCTTTTAAAAAAAAAAGAACATACGTTCGTTTTTTTATCATGCATGAATTCTTAAATAAAAATTTATAATAATTTAAAATGCAAGTTTCAATTTATCAAAAACCCAAAAAACAATGTATAAATTTAATTATTTATTTTATAAGATTTTATCGAGAAAATTAAGCAACAATTAATTTAAAAAAATTGCATAAAAATATTAATTTTTTAATTTTTTGTATAATAATGATGCAATATATATATATATATATATATATTTTTTCTCAAAATAATAAATAATATTAGCATAAAAAACTCTATTTGAAAAGTATGGCACTGTATGATGTTGTTTTAATATATAATTTTTATTATTTTATTTGAAAGAAATTGATTTTAAAATATTAATTAATAAAATAAATATTAATTTTTTTTTCTGTATATGCACAATCAATTTGTAATTAAAAAAACTTATAAAATTAATATTGATATTTAATTATTTATAAACAGTATAATAACAATTTTATTATATTTTATTACTCGAATATTTGGTTAAGTGAATTGCACATAACACCTAAAAAAAAGCACAAAAAATCAATACTCGCATATATATTTGAGTTGATATTTAATGTAGAAAAACAAAATTCTTCAAAAACAAATCCAAATGTCAAATAAGCAATTTTTCTAAAGAAAAACATAAAAGTATTTTCACTCAACAAGTTTGGACACGAAAATACAATTACCACATTATATTCATAAAATTATTTTGCATGAATCTTTAATAAGCAATTTTAACTTTTTCTAAAGTCACTTTTGAACTTTATTATTATTTATTGACATTGCCCACTCTTGCTATCCTCGAGGCCACATGTAGGATATATCTAATTTCTTATACCCAATATAGTTTTTTTTTAATGCATTCTTTTGATATAGACTTTCAGTATGATATTTATTTTTTTAAAAAAATCACATGCAAACTATAATGAAGGAGGTCTTTGAATTGTATAGTAAAGTATAAATTAATCCATTTAATTTTGAGAAATGAATTAATTAGTCCTTTTGGTTTCAAAAACTAGTTATTTAGTTCTTTTAACCCATTTTGACCACGACTAATTTAATTTTTTATTTTATAAAATGTTTTTTTCTTATCAATCTTTTAATATTCTATCCCTTTTCTATTTCTTAAAACAAAACAAAAAAATCAAAATAAATTGAAAAATAGTAAAAAGAACTAAATAATTAGTTTTTAAAACTAAAAGGACTAATTAATTCATTTTTCAAAGAAAGAGAGTCTAATTTATAATTTGCTCTTAAATTGCAAGTAGGTGACCAAAATAAGAAGGAAAAAAAGAAGATGAATGACATAAGCATTAATGTTCTGTTTTAAAAGCAAATGAAATTAGAGCATCTCCAATGCTCTTTTTATATTAAGATTTTTCTTTATAATAAAGAGGTTTGACTCAAATTCTATCTCCAATACTTTTTTTATTACAATCTCTATCTTTAAAATTGAGATACATAGTGTATTTGGCTCTCCAAAACTAGAGAGTTCAAATGACTCTTTACTTTATATTTCATTAATGAAAATCACTATTTCTTATATTACTCGGTCTCTTCATCAATAATCTTTCTAGGTTTTATGAATTTTGTCAAAATAAAGAGTTAAAGTAGAGAGTAGTATTGGATAGGACATTGATCTTCAATCTATATAATTAAATGATGCTCTCTATTTACATTAAAAATAATAGCTAAAAGTAGAGAGCACCATTAGAGATGCTCTTATACAAATCTACCAAATATACCAAATAAGTAAATTAAAAGCAATCGAGTCAAGGATAAGCTTGGGATTTCACAAATCCACTGGGTGGCATGATAGAAATTAAGAATAAATCGGAAAGGCGTTTATACACAAAGCGAAGAAAAAGAAGAAGAAGCATGATGTGAACATCAATCCACTGTAAAATGACGAGTAGGAACGAGTATTTAGATAAGAAATCCATTGCTATTTTAGTTTGTTTTGTAATTAGATTTTTTGTCCACGCTATCTTTGCGGGTTAGATAAAACATATAAAATCATTTAGAAAAATCATTTCAGTTTGATAGTCTATTTTATGATGTAAATCTATAAAAATATATGAAATCAAAGGTGAACAAAGTATTTATAATTTTTTAATAAAAAAGTATGCATTTAACTATTCCTTATTTGTGTTTTTCATAATTTTTTCTTTACAAAAAGGATTTATGCTTGTTAATCCATGGATCATTAACTAGAAAGAAAATTAAATAATTTTTTAAAAGAAGCTTTAATATTTCATAATATTGTGTGAAAAAACAAAAATAACAATTACTAAAAGCTTACATAAAATTGAACAAATATTTTTTTATTTTTATTTCATGTTGATGAGAATATCGATTTTTGAAAAAAAAATATGAATTTAATTTTTATATATTTATTTACAAAAGAATGAATAATATTAAAATAAATTATAACTGTCGATAAATATAGTTTTAAATTACTTGGATGAGAATTTAAAAGAAATGACAAATTAAAGTAGTAAATTTTAAATAATAAAAATAATTAGCAAAAAAAACTAAAACAAAATGGGACAAAATCTCAATACAATTAAACTTTGAAATTGAAAAAAAAAATGTATAGAAAAATTGAGGACTATATAATTTTAAATTAATTGGATGAATTTTTTTTTTAAAAAAAGACAAATTAAAGAAAATTAAATAAGGTTTTTTTTTTTATAAAGTTTAGTATTTCATAAGATTGTATAAAAAAAATTATTAAAAGCTCACATAAAATTGAATAAATATTTATTTTTATTTTTATTTAATGTTGATGAGAATATCGATTTTTGAAAAAAATATGAATTTAATTTTTATATATTTATTTACAAAAGAATGAATAATATTAAAATAAATTAAAACTGTCATTGAATGTAATTTTAAATTAATTGAATGATAATTTGAACGACAAATTAAAGTTGTAGATTTTAAAGAATAAAAATAATCAATAAAAAACACTAAAACAAAATGGGACCAAATCACGATATGATTAAAGTTTGAAATTAGAAAAAAAATTATATAGAAAATTTGAGGACCATATAATTTGAAATTAATTGGATGTGAATGTTTTTAAAAATGACAAATTAAAGTAGTAAATTTAATTAATAAAAATAATTAAAAAACACTAAAACAAAATGAGAATAAATCAAAATACAATTAAAGTTTAAAATTGAAAAACAAAATATAAAAAATAAAAGACCAAAGTGTTAAAAAAATCATAAATAGTGAAAGGAATATTGATTTGTAAATGTATGAATAGTAAAATATAAGTGTGTGAACAGTATTCGAAAATAATCAGGTGTTTTGTTTTTGTTTGTTTTATAATTTCCAATACACATAATTTTCTCCGCAATTATCCAGTTCGGTCTCCTTTCATCCAGGTAGTCCAGGGTCCCAGTCATTTTGATTTGGGCCAAAACAGAAGCTGGACTTGAAGTAAAGCCCAATTAACTAAGTATGGCGGGCTTGGGGTAAACCCCAAATCAAAACGACACAGTATATCCCTAATAGAATCCAGAATCAAAACCCCTAGTAAAGCTAAGCAGCAGCAAATCTTTGGGTCAAGGGTTTTTGAGTATTTATAACATAAAATCCCTGTCGCCTTCCCTTCTTCTACAAAAAGAAAGCAAGAGATAGTGAGATAGAGAGAGAGATTTGGGAAGAGAAAGAGAAATTAGGGTTTTTCTCTCTCTAGAAAAACACACAAAAGAGTAAGGAATGGAAGGAATCACAGAGGGTGTTAACAACATAAACATAGCAACAGGAGATTTAGCTAATACCAAGAAGAACCGAATCCAAGTTTCAAACACCAAAAAACCTCTTTTCTTCTATGTTAATCTCGCCAAGGTAAAACCAAAGTCCTCCTTTTCTTTTTTCTTATTTAATGTTTCACTTCTCTTTTTCTTTTTTATTACTTCTGTTTTCTATTTATGTATCTGTTTTAGTTTTGTTTTATGGATAAATTAATTAGATCTCTGTTCGTTTTATTGGTTTGTTAGCCGGTTTATGGTTTTAATTTTTGTGTTGTTTATGCCAACTAATTTTAGGGATTTGTTGCTATTATGAACATGGGTCCTGTTTTATTCTCGTCTTGCATTTTTCTGTTTAGGTTTTTGTTTTCGCTCTGTTTGGTTGCTAGGAAAATTGTGGATGAGAAAATAAATGGAGGAGGAAAGTTTGTATATCTTATTATTGCGTTGGAATTAGTTGTTTTAAAAATTAAAATATGGTTGGATCTTTTCATTTTGTTATTGATTTCGGTGAAAGGTTTTGTAATTTATATTTAGGTAATTAGAGAAAGGTAAATGGGTTTGTTTTGTTATTTAGCTGTTTAATGCTTGATGGGGGTTGAATTTTTTGCAGAGGTACATGCAACAGCACCATGAAGTGGAGCTTTCTGCCCTTGGAATGGGTATTGTTTCTTTGGCCGCCATCTGAGTTATTTATTTAGTACTTCGACACATTTCATGTCTGTTGAAATTAGAGATTTTTGTTGGATTCCCTTTGAAGTGCTAATTTAGCTAATTGCTAGGGGATTTGTTGTTCTACTTGCATGGTCATAAATTGATTTGACTATACACTATGTAATCACAAAAAAAAAGATGGAATTGGGGTGCATTATTGTTCTCTTGTGTAAACTTTAAATTACGGAAGCAAAGTAGTTGGTGTCGTATTTCTTGTTATTGGAGAGTTTGCATATGATTGATTTTTATGTTACATGTGCAGCTATAGCCACTGTTGTTACGATTGCTGAGATCTTGAAGAACAATGGACTTGCTGTTGAGAAAAGTGAGATTCTATTCCTTATTTTCCCTGTACTTTTTCTAGCTGATGTTGAGAGCATGATCACTTATTATGTGTTATGTGTTTGTTCAGAGATCATGACTTCCACAGTTGACATGAGGGAAGAAACAGGAGGGCGTCCTGTTCCAAAAGCAAAGGTAAAGCATAATTGAAATCCTTCCAAATAAAGCTATCACCAAACTTCAATTCGAAATTGTATCTGCTTTGCTTTCTTTGGGAAATCCGATTGTTAGCATCTATGCTTTTTATAAGCAACACAAACAACTCACTACACATACAATGGGAGATGGAGAGTTCAAATTATAGATTTTCATTTTTAGATCTATACATTCTTTCATCAATTACCATTAGATATTTAGGGACAGATCAAATCATATGAATCGAGAGATGTTGCTTCTGGTTTAAATTTATCCAATCTTGCCGTGTACTATGAGGCCTCTACAGTAGAGATTTCTTGTTAGAACCATCCTATGTGTCTTTGTACTGGTCTGAGCAAGTTGCTCTTCATTCCTTATCAATAGCTAGTTATATTTTCAATTTCAAGATGGAAAGGCTGACAATGCAGAATGGATTTGCGCTCTTGCAGATTGAAATATTGCTAGGGAAGACAGAAAAGTTTGACGAGTTGATGGCCGCTGCTACTGCTGAGGAAGCTGCTGATGCTGAGGAGCAGAGCTGAGCGTGAAAGGAAGAATTTAGCTTGTTCTCTTGGATTTGTAACCTGCTTATCTTAGATTGGAACTATTAAGTTCAGTAGCTGTGATGATATTTCTTCTAGGGAGTTTTTGTAAAAACATCACTGTTGCAAATTCAAAATTCAAATTTGTTTACCTGGTTGGTGATTTCTACAATGGCTTCAAGTGATGGTTTATTTATTTTATCACGGAAAAGCAAGTGAAGTGTTTCCATGTAATAACTGTAGGGTTTGCCCTCACTGCTTGTAAGTGATTTCATGGTCTAATCGAGGTACTCGTTAACAGTCAATGGAGAACCTCAGCCCTAGGGATATGGAAATCTCAACTGAAAAGTGGAAGATGCCCCCACTACCCAAATCTGAATCGTGTTTGAGATGTCAAACAAAGAATTCACGATGCCTCATTCGTTTTTCAAAGCAGGTTTCCCAATTCCTTTTTGAGATTCGAATTGTGTTTTGAGTCGTGGAAAAGGTGGAACTATTTCAATCTACCAAGAGTTAAAAGAGTAGCAATCCGATCCGATAACGACAGCCTAGCATAGCTTTTTTCAAAAACGTAAATGTCCCGATCAATTCAATAAAACCAGGAAAAAAGGGGGAAAACAAAAACGATATAGGTTTTCTAACGTCCCAAACAAGTTTGCGGGACCGTTTCCTAAAAAAAAAAAAAAAAAAACTCAGCGGAGACAAAAACCCAAGATAACTTGGTATAAATAAAAATTATTACCATCTCAATTTTCCCTTATGATTAGACAGAAAAACACGGACTCATTTGCCCCGTTTATGCTTCTTCCTGATCCTCTACAAGTATCCTTTTGCATGCTTCGTAGCACATGAAAGATATCCCAGCAGCAGGAACCAACTTCATGCAACTAGGTCCCAGCCCTTTATACAACCCCTGGATACCTTCTTGTTCCAGTATGCTAGCTAGGGCATGGAACACATTCCTGTATACCTGTCTTCCGCTGAGAGCTCCTACCTGCATGTGCTTCCGGGCAACTTCGAGAGGGAAAGTTGCACTACTTGATATGGCACCAGCAGCAGATCCGATTAGAAGAGTTTCGATGTTGCCTATCTTCTCTTGCTTTGAAAATTTCCGATAGGCTTTCCGTAATGTGTCATAGGCAAAGTAATTTGTTGCAGCATATGGAATAACTCCAATAAGGCTGGGGGCAAGACCCCTGTAGAGTTCTCCAGGGCCTTCCTCACGCAGAATTTTTAAGAATGCATGTACTATACCGTTATAAACACCTCTCTGCACAAAATACATCCCACCCCGTGAGAAACCGAAAAGCATCCACACCCAAGATTTCAGTTTCTGGTTTAGACTGTGCACATACCTGTATAGTTAATCGAGTCTTGACTAACTCAAGCGGGTACGTGCACAAAGTAGAGCTCACTCCAGCACATGCCCCAGCAATTAATGATGCAGGAATTGGAAGTTTCGGCTGCTCCCCAGCTGCAGGTGACAGCTTCTTGTTTACCGTATCATATGCAAAAAGCTGCAGACACAAGCCAGTTACACGTAAGATGAGATACCTGGAAGGCTGGATCTGGAATGTTGCTTAGAACATGCACAAGTTGAATAGCTTAATTATTTTTCTCCAATTCAAAATAAAAGAGGGAAGGGAGCTATAAAAAGCATTGTTTATAAGTACAATGAAGGTTCTAGATTCCATGGCAACACATAAAGAAAAGATCAGAGAACTGTATGAATTGGTAAGCTTTTAATTTGGACCAACTGATGTTTGAATTTGTAATTGTTACCCTTCCAATCAATTATAGGAGATTTATTTGCAGAAGTTGAGAACTATGATGGTCAACAACAGTCAAACTACGAGTATCCTGAAGCTCTACAGACCTACAGGGCTGACACCTGCCAATCTCCAGTTTCATTCTCGTCCTGATCGGGCTGACATGTATCAGCCACTTGTCTGAAACCCATTCTTGAAAACAGGTGGTTAATTTGACAATTCAAAGTATTCATACATAGTAGATGATAGGATCCATCTTTCGCTACCAGGTGAGGTGCAGTCCAAACAAAGAGCACATGCCAGGCAAGTAAAAGCTGGCAGCTAGCTCACCTAAATTTGTTAAAGCTGTTCAAGAGATGTTCCCATAGAGTGGAGGATATCTACTTAACTGAAACAGAGATTAGTTTGCCTGCAACTCATTTTGTTGAATTCATAATTGTACTGCCATCAATTATAAGAGCCAGTCCAACAGGTAACCACTAACTAGCCTATACTCATCCACTCACCCTCAGGTTATTGAAGATTTATAATGCACTTAAGAACTCATAGAAAATTAGAAGCAACCTCTTCCGAGCAAAACTAAACAATAAAAATACAGCAAAAAGAGCAGCTGAAGGCAGTGAATGAAAAGTCAAAACCAGATAAAAAAAATTTAAGAACTCGTATGGCATACTTGCATACAAGCATTGACAAGACCAAAACCAATCCAACTAGTGCACAACCTACGCGTCAGAAATAATTGAATAATAGCAAAACATAAAGCCACCTTTTTTTCCAGAAAAAAAAATTGCAAGATTGATCATTGTCATATGAGCAAGGAACCACCATTTTGACCATTTATATGCATCAAACCAATTGGTTTACAATTCTTATTGATCATGGGTTACAAAATTAGTTTTGATTCCAGATTAGTCTCTTCAATTTCATACTCGTATTAAAACTTTGCATTCCAATTAAACTTTAAGAAACCTGAATTTTAAATTCACCACAACAAACGAATAAGGTATCTAATAAGCATTGATCACGGGCATTCATGCTTCAACCATATCACATCAGCAACCAGACTAAAGCAAACAGCCTATGCTGTTCCGTGAAGCAATCATCGATGTTGACACTCAGACAAACATATAAACCATAAATGAACAAGAAACAAACAAAAAGGATGACATCAAGAAAACGGAATCGAGAAATTATCACAGTAATTCTTCAAAGGGAGAAGAAGTACAAATAAGTACAGTGAGCACAAAACTTCCTTCGGACCCTCAATTACAAGACCGCAAAGCATGAACCAACCAGTACATAAAAAATGCTAGCCATCAAATAATAATCCAGTAAACCAGCAAAAGTTATACCAAACAATCAATTTAACCACAATAACATCTCTTCCAGAATCAATAAAACATAAACGAAAGAAAAATTTTCATTACCTCAATAGCCTTGCTAGGCGCAACGCGAATCACATTAACCAGATTGCCTCTAAACAACCCTTTCCATCCATCAGTCTTCATTATATTATTAAAAACCTCAGTAGAACTATGTCCACTACTCCCCACCATCAAGTGAGTCCTAATAGTCTCCAAAGGAGCCACTGCAGTCCTTGAAATAGCACCAGCTACCCCTCCACTAATTAACCTTCTTAATGAATGGTTTTTAACCTTGATCTTCAATTTAAGCCCACCTTTCTTCTTCTTCTTCAAAACCCCTTCTTCCTCTTGAAACCCAACAAAGGACAAGTACTTGACATACAAATCATTGTATAAAGCCTTTAAGCTGCCGTTGTCCCCCATACCCATTTGATTAACACTTGCAAACAGACCTCCACTAGGGAGATACTGGACATCTTGAAAGCTATTCCATTGAGACCCCAAACCGGAAATCGAGAGAAACCCATCTCTATTATCATCAGACAACTGGTTTCCATCCCTACCCATGAATGAAAACCTTGTAAAAAAAACTCTTTTTTATGCTTTAATGAATACCCAAAAGTCCAAAACCAGAAGTTTTAGACAGGAAAAGAATGGATTTTGAGCAAATGGACGCCTAAAAACTCCATTTTTGATTAATGGCCATGATGTTAAAAATTGCAAAAATATAAAAAAGATTCGATTTTTTTGTTGAAGAATCCAAGAGAGATCAATAACGGTGAAAACAAGAGAAGGGAAACGCAAAAACTTCCAGCAAGAAGAAAGCTTCAATGTTGTTAGAAAGAGAGAGAAGAGGGGTTGGTGAATCTCTCTCTTTCTCTCTCCTTTTTTTTTTTTTTCCCTCTCTACAATGCTCCTCGCGTTGCTTAGGTTTTATATATATATATATATATAGTAGGAGTTTTCTAAGGTGGTTTGTTGAGTTAGGTTTTTGTGTTGGCAAAGGGAAGTAATGGGGAAGACTGTTGTCATAGGCAGTCTCTTCCTATTCAAAGATTTCTGAGCTTTTGGACTACTTTTTGGATTTTGGTTTTGTCATTTATGGGCTATTTGGTATTTTGTGAATTTCTGAGGATATTTACTTTGGGCCATTCAAATATGTTGTTCTTTTTCAAAATTAATAGGGTTTGATTTTAATTTAGTAAATAAATTATTAAACTATATTATTATTATTATTATTATTATCATCTAAAAGAAAAAAAATGAATTTTGCACATAAACGAAGAAAGTTTTCCTATTGCAAATTAAGCTTTGACTAAGCACGCTCAATTATAATAAAAGTGGCTTCCCATTGGTCCGAAGGATTGCTTTACTTTTGATATTTTTATTTTCGATTTTAATTATCTTAGTATTCTTGGTTATGGTTTACATAGAGAGATAAAAACTCCATCATTTATTTGATCCAAATAAAAAAATAATATATTAAAATTTTGTTAGAAAATAATATAAATTATATTTTTAAAACTATTTGATAAAATTTTAAAATATTTTATATTATTTTTTAACATATTTAGTTTCTACTAATATGCAAATTCAGCTTAGAGAACTTTGGTGCCTGACTCAAAGGTTAGAGTCGCAATTTAATTATGTTTATTAAACTTAACAATTAATTTAATTTATACTTGAATAAATTATAAATTAGTCTTTTTAGTTTTGAAAAATGAATTAAATAATTTCTTTAGTTTTAAGAAACTAATTAATTAGTCTTTTTCATTTTTTCATGTATTTTTTTAATTTGTTTTGTTTTTAAAGAAATATCAAACATAAAAAATTAATTATATATTATGAAAAGATTGATGAGAAAAAAATTTTCCAGAGACTAAAATTAATCAGTTTTTTTAAAAAAAAATTAAACAAAACTAGGAGCACTAATTTATAATCTACTCTTTGTAAATTATACCTCCATGAATTCTGCCGTAAAAAAAGCCCAATCCAACTTGATTAGCTTTATTCTATAGAAACAAACTGCAGTGATTACATAAGAAATAAGGGACTAGTGTTGACATAGCAAAAAAGAAAGGGGACCTATTTAAAGATTTGCCAAGACCTAGAAACGGTCCAATGAATTTATTTGCTGTAGAAAGTATATAAATAAATAATACATTAAAAAATTCCATCTCGAGACCCCAAACCCACAGAATAAAGTCGCCTGCCTGATTCCTGCTGAGCTCTTCCAAGTTCCAACTTGCAACTTGCATCTGATACCAAGGAGGTTTGTTGTTTCCTGTTTTTCTCAAAGGCCATTTAGATCTTGGAAAATTCATTTTTTTCCATTAAAAAAGAAAAAAACTGGACTAGTCAATTTTGATATTGACCAGAAAAGCATAGAATTAGTTGTATAACTTTTGGTAAATAAAATATGAGGAAAATCTAACTAGTCTTCTTCAGGTATTCCTTAAATATTATCCAAGTGTATTCCCTAAACTCCACCAAATATTTAAATAAAAATCAATGATATTAATTAAATATATTGAATAATTGTTATTTTATACGTTAATATTTTTAAGTGTTTATAACAAATTCTTTAAAAAATATATATATACATTTTTAAGTGAAGATGATCACTCACTCATATTGGAAAAAACCTTGGAAAGATCATGCATATTAATCATATTCACGAAGGTTATATGAATCTAATTATATAAAAGAATCTTGAGAAAAATCAAGTTTGAACTTAAAAAGAAAAAACAAAGACCACCTGGGTAGAATGAGAACTGGTCTGGTAGAGGTTCAAGAATTGGCTGAGTTGAATTTGACCGAAATCTTGTCTGTTTTGGTAAGATTTTATGCCGCAACTATTTCCATACAAAGTAGTAAAGGTTGGTATCGTGAATTCTTCTTGATAAAGATAAGAATCTGATAATAATAAGAGTTATATCACAATAACTTAATATAATAGAAACTCTACTTTAACTCTATCTCTATTTCTATTTCTGCAACTTTATTTAAAGAGTTTATTATGATACAAAGCCTGTGTAAAAATTCTTTACAATTAATTCTTGATTTTTTTTATAATATCAGAACCTTAATGATTAAATATTTGAGAATTCGAATCTCATTATCTTTATTTTTCTTCTAATTAATTAAACATAAAGTAACGTAGATCTATATAAGTTTCGAGTGTAAAAGTTTTTACTTGAAGAGATATGCTAATAAACAATATAAATCATATTTTAAGATCTTATCTAATGACTTAACTTTTTAGGTTAAATAGATTTTTGACACTTTTATACTCATCATTTATGTGCATTTTTGCAAGAAAAAAAGTGAATTAACATACTTGAAAATTTTCACTTATATAATTAATAGATTTATTTCCACAGTTATATAAAAATCAGATCAATAATTTAATATTGCTGAGTACGGAAATTAAGTTATTTCAATTATCTCAATTAAAGTGTGCACTCAAGAACATTTTAGAAAAATCCCAAAATCAACACAAGAAAAAAAAAAAGATTCAACTACCATGTATAGCCATAGGAGCCTTCTTTTTGCGCGATTCTGTAAAGGGGAATAAATCAAGTGTATTGTGTGTACGTTTGAAATAGACAAATCAAGCAAATCAGTGAGTGATTGTATTGATCAGCAAAAACAAGGAAAAAAAGGTGGAAAATATTGATTGATAAATCAAGTGGCTTGTTTCGATAGATGATTGCAATCAAGCATCATGTCAATATAATTTTTTTTCATTTTTAATTGCCTTCAAGTTGGTCGCAAATTGAAAAAGGTGGCATTGATACCTACCCATAATCCCAAGGAAAAAGGAATGGAATATCAAATTCATTATATCACATTGATCCTTCGGCCATGGATTCTTTATTTTTTGTAGTAAGAAAGTATATCTGCTTTTTTAAAAAAAAAAAAAAATCTTTTTTCCGACTAAAGTATGTAGGATTGCATTTCAATTACGTACATTATTATTATCCAACCAGTCCATATCTAATCTGCAACTTTCACTGCTACCGCTGCCCTTGGGCCCTGACTAGTTGTTACTACGCTAATTAGGTAATAAATGGTGATAGTTTGCTTTTTGTGTCACTTTACGGATAGAATAAGATATATTTATTTTTATTCGATGAATTATAATATATTATTGATCAATTAAAATATATAAATTAAAAAAAGAAAATAATTCACATTTCATAATTTTTAATGAAAAAATTGTATTTAGTTAATTCTTTTTTATATTTTTCATAAATTTTGTAATTAAAAAACATAATTCTTATTATTTAAAATTGATTTTTTCAATTTATCGTATTTTATGAAAATTCTCATGAAATTAATTTATTATTTTTTATATAATTTTATTTTTTAATAAATAAATTTTTCTTTGTGTACAGATTTTCGAATATGTTTTTTTTTTTTTTACAAATAATCAATTAAAAAATAAAATTTATATATTTTATTTGTTTATTTTCTATAAAACTAAAATATATCAAACTCAAATTTGTAGTTGTTTTTATTGTAGTCTACTAACTTCAATGTATTTTTTACAATTTGAGTTTTTTTATTTATTTTGCATACTCTAACCCACTAGGTATGGTCGTAATATATATACGTGTGTACGTGTGTGTGTGTGTGTGTGTGTGTGTGTGTGTGTGTGTGTGTGTGTGTGTGTGTGTAGAGAGAGAGAGAGAGAGAGAAGTCATTGATTTTATTAAAAATTAACTATGCATCTAAACACATACACACCAACCATTTACTATTAATTTTTTAATATTGTAAAATTAATTTCATGATTTTTAATCAAATATTTTTATTTAATTTATTATTTTTTATGTTTTTTTTCATAATTTTAGTAATTAAAAAAAAACATAATTTGTTCTTTTTTATGCGCTCATTCTTAAATAAAAACCTATAATAATCTAAAAAACAAATTAGTATTAAATTTTAAAAATGTATGAAAAATAAAAAAAAATTAATATAAAAACTTATATAAAAATTAATAAATAAATCTTTTTTATTCTTGTTTAATATTGACGAGAAGGTAAACTTTTTGAAAATATGTACATTTGATTTATATATTTTTATTTAGAAAATAATCAATAATATTAGTATAAAATTTATATTCGAATTATTGGGTGGTTATTCTAAAATATTATTTTAATTATTTTATTGAATCTTATTTTTTTAATTGATTATTTATTTAAAAATTATTCAAGAATCCACACATAGAGAAAAATAAATTATATTTGTTAAAAAATATAATTATATAAAAAGAAAAATAAAAAATTAATTTGATGAGAATTTCTATAAGAAACGACAAATTTAAAAGATTAATTCAAAATAATAAAAGCAATGTAATTCGATATATATGTTTATTTTAAAGTCTAAAAACATAAAATATATATTTCATAATCACCGGCCTATATAAAAAATAAAAAAAATAATAATTAGTTTTTCATGATTGTCACACCCAATTTAATAATAAAAAAGTCAAAATAAATTGTTAAGAAAAAAAAAACACAAGCATGCTTACTTGGTCCATCTAGGGACAAAAATATCTT